TTGTTTATATATCCACAGGGTCAAGCAAATTGCTGCTTTTATGAATTGGCTTTTACTGTCAAGTGCCTGAAGTGGTGCTAGCCCTGCTCTCCTTTCTCATCATTTTAGAAGCCTATTTTCTTTAATTTTGTCTTCTACAGAGTTCTGCATGTTTCTCTTAACAAAGAAGCTGTAAAGATGGAGAATTTGGAAGTTCTGCATCTTTTCTTAAGCTGGTATGATGTTTTAGGACATTTTTTTTTTCTCACAGGTAAACTCATCAGGGAATTAAACAGAACTGTCCCTATTCCTTGAAGTCAAAGGATGCTGTTTTGTTATTTCTGTGCAGTAGAGTAGGCTAACCTACAAAATTAAATCACAATAGTCTTAGGACTCTTAGTAGTGAATAAGAAAGAAGTGTAATTGTAATCCTTTTCACTACTTCTCTTTTTATAAGCAGTCTTCTTCAAGCTGTATTTTATTAGTGCTTACTGCAGATAGCTTCACGGTGTTTTTGTGACAATTATTTTTTCTTCCTTAGGCAGGTTAATATTTCAGGAATACAGGAACCTATTGCTGTTCTCTTAACCTTCTAAAAGTCTCCCTACAACTTTGAAGCCGACTGTAAAATTGTTTTGTTCAGAAACTCAGACACTCAGTTTTGATTCTTGTTTCAATTCAGTTGAAAAATTCTGTATCTCAAAAGAATAATTAAGTAAATATTAAGTGTTTTAAAGCAGATTAAAGAGTATGACAGTGTATCACTTGTGTCAATAAGCCTTGAACTCTGGAGCCAAGTGCCCAGCTCCAATGGGAGCAGCATGCCAAATACAAAGCTAGTAGAAAGTTTCACTTTGTCAGTAATGTATATTTAATGGTTTTTACTGTAGAATTTACTTACAAATAAATTCTACCTTACCTTTTTGTGAAAAAACATTAGTTTCCTAGGAAGACATTTCCTGGTGACTCTGTGGCAGGTGTGCATAATAAACAGTATTGTGCAGCTTTCCAAGTTCAGTTTTTCAAAACATTAATAAATTACATACTTGACTCGTTCATTTTATTAGTGCTTAGTATCTGTAAGGTAAAACATATGCAGATATGCTTCCCAAGAATGCCAAGGCAGTGGAAGGGTTAAAAAAATGTTTATTTCAGATGCATGGACCACTTCTTAACAATGGCATCGGGTGCCAGGGCAAAAGGCAATGCCCTGCCTTCTCCAAGGCCATCAGTATCTTCTCGCTCTCCTCCCCCACTTTCTCTGGCCCACGACAGCCTTGTACATGTCTGCAAACATGTTATCTCTCTGCCTACCAAGGAAATAGCTTGCTCACAGCTTCTCCCTGTGACTTTCTCTGAAATGCAGAAGGAATTAAAAAACCACCTAACTCATTTGAGAAGGCATTTTGCAGTCTTCCTGAGTGAAGCAAGTTCTAGCTTTCTGTTACAAATTCTTGCGCAGTTGCACCTATCCCTACAGTATCTAATGGAAGGGAGAGAGGAAGGAGATTCTTTGGACAGAGACAGTGAATTTGTACTTACTGCTTTGAAAACTATTGTGGAAACAGCTCACAGACTGATAGATAGGTGCCTTGTTTTTAAAAATCTCATCCAAAAGTCTCTGCAGGAGAAATTTAATGATATGGTCTTATTCTTTGCTAAGAAATACCAGATACTAAGTTTTGAAATATCATGGAAATACAGACAAAATTAATCAAGGATAGCAATATTTGAGAGCATAACTCAAGGTTCATAACTTCTGATTCATTATAATCTTGAAGATGTCTCTTCATAAAGATGTATCTGATTCATCGGCAAATTCATCATTTGGTGCCAATTTTTCATAGATACACAAGTGTTGGCATTTATAGATTATTTATTTTTTTTTTTGCTAAGTCCACATTGCTGGTGTTATTTCCTAATTCTGAATATTTGTGCAGAGGCAATGCATAATGCCTCTTGCATGTTCTCTTCTTCTGAACTCCCACTGTTCTGAATAGTAAGGTAATAACTTCAGTAAGAAAATAGAGGTAAGTCATCCTTACCTAGTAGCATGGCAGTTGCTTATCATGGTTATTTTCTTCCTAGATGTGTCTACCAAGACATTTCAGACCTAACTAAAAAATTATTCTGATATTTAAGACTTAATAAATAAGCTTGAAGTAATTTATTATTTGTGCTAAGAAATTATCATTTTTATAACCTTAGCTACTGAACCCATTATTCAGCATTGTTCCATGAATAAGTGCTGGTGTGCTGCACTAAAATATGTGATGTTTAAATGCAGGAAAAGACATATCTTCAGGAAAGCACCTGTTATACATTATTAAGGCCAATCTGTAGTATTCTATTAAGGTTATGGGAAAAAAAAAAAGGCATCTGCTGAGTAGGAGTCCATTTCTAATTTCAGTTGTCACTTTCTTCACCCCCTTGAATAGTATTCCTGCCATGAAGCTTAGATATATACTGTTGTTTCTTCATCCGCTTATCCCCTCCTAACTTATTGATTCAGGCATTTGGATATTGCACTCTAGAAGTACATCACTGCTTTCCAAAGGCTTAAAATCATCTCTTTTGATGGCAACCATTTATTTGTTTTGAAAAGTACAACTGAAAGACTAGTAGTTGTTTGACCAAACTCTGAAAAGTTCTGCATTTTTAATGTCTAGGCTGAGTGCATGGCTAAAAGTACAAAAATTTAAACTGCACACTTCGTTTAAGTTTAAAGGGAAAAAGTCACCTAGAGAACACCTAGAGGACATCGACTTCGCAATTAGCCTTTATAACCAACATGCAGTAGGATTAGACTACAGAAGTAATTTATTTGGATTTAGTAGCTAACTTGCCATATGGAGTAATGGTAAGTTAGTTTTTTCCACTTCTTCTGTGTAGTCTCCTCTGACTGAGTGCAAACAGTTATTTTGTGTGTGTGTATATTTAGGGGTGGAGGAGATATCCCTAGGAGTAACTTATTTATTAGTTATATCTTCAGATTACTGGGAGGAAAGCGAATAGGCATATCAGTACAGCATGCATGTCTGGTAATAAACACTCCTGCAATTACAGAGTAACTAGAAACAATAACAAAGATCAAATGTGTCACTGTGGAAGTCAGCAATAAGATGGAGTCTCCAAGAAAGAAAGTATTGTTAAGGGATTCTGTGAGATGAAGATGATCAGCTTGGTTTTGTGTGGTGTTTTGGGTTCTTTGGCTTAGGCTTTTATGGAGATGAAAACTTACTAGTTTTAAAATCATATTTACTGGGATTTGAAAATGCTGAAGGAAAAACTTTCCAGAATAGTGTGAGAGTTACATGTATGTATGGTAGGTGCATTTGTTCTAGTTCAAGAAGCATCACTGTTGGCAAACAGTGTTTGTTTTTTTGTAGGTGTTGTTTTTTGTAGTTGGTTTTCTTAATTTGCCAACTGAAAGAGCTACATATTAATTGACTGCATTTATTGTAATTGTTCCTACTGATAAGAAAAAGAATTTTTTCTAAATTCTATTGCTGCAGTGGATTTTCTTTTTCTCAGAAAATGTTTGAATATATACCTAGACTTTTCTGTCACTAGGTAATGAGCACTGTTTTCTCCAGAACTTTTGCAAAGCAGCTGTCCTTTTTCCAGTGTGCATATATGTTCTACCTACAAGCTGCTTATTAAAAAGTTTCAGAAATTGTTATTTCTGAAAATGACTTGTCATTAAATTGTCACCATGTTTTAGAAAGAAAAGTCTGAATTAGAAATTTAAATCTTTTTTTTTTTGAAAGCATCTAAGAACTAGATAGTTTAGCTACATAACAGTTAATATTTTCCAAATAAAACTGTAGTAGCTATGAGTTTTTATTATATCTTTGGAACATTTCATCAGTGTGGTACCTGTACAATAAATTGGTAAATATTGATTTCTGAGTGACATTTAAAAAGAGGAAATGCAAACTAAGCTGCAAATATATGTAAATCAAAATTATAACCTACAGCAGTGTTTATGCATAGTTATTCTTTCTGACAAGGAGCAAAGATATCTCTACTTTTTTTAAACCTAGAAGTTGCAGGTCTAAACTTTTTTCCTGTTTGTTTTTTTTTTTTGATAATATTATTTTGGTTGTTTATTGCAAAGCTAACATGTTCCTGCTTGTAGGGATACCTTTATCAGGGTGTGACTTACTTGTTTGGGTGAGAAATCATTCAGTTACTTTGTCCCCAATAGGTGAAAATGCCAGGCTTTGTTAATAACAGAGGAATGTGTCCCTTTTTTTTCCCTTTTTCAATAAAACTTGAAAGATGAGGTCCTGTAAGTTGCAGTAACCTAAACTTTAGTCATAAAATATTTTTGGATATTAGGAGAAAACAAATTGCAATTAAGATGCTGAATGTACAGTGCTTTCCTTTGAAAAATAAAGGAAATGTAAACAACCTTTCTTTATGAGTCTCTGTTTTCAGAATTGTGTTTTATCTCTATATTTAATACCAGTAATCATTTTGGATATCAAGATGTGAAGTTGGAGTTGTATTTGTGGATGTTGTTGTTTTTCATATTGTAAGCACGTATCATCCAATAATACTGAATTGTTTTCTCAAGTTTTATCTCCTGCTATAATAGACTATTTTTAAAATCTTTGCTATGGACAAAAAAAGGATCACTTCAGATTTTCGTTTACTTCATATTATGTTTTGGAATTCTTTCTGATAAGAGGGTGGGTTTTTTCTGGAAATGATGTTGTAGAAGATACATCCTCTGTCATTTTGCAGGAAAAAGTTTCCAGCAAAGGAAAAGAATTCCAGCCAGTTAAATACTTCACTCATTGTGCTTAAGTTTTGTCAGTGTTCCAATTTATTCTGTATTGTAAGCAATATAAATGTTTTAAATTAACTAGTTATTGTCACGTGAAAGTACTGCTTGATTGTACTGTTGAATTTTTATGCCAGAAACCATGATGGTTGAATGGCCCAAATGGATGACACTGTATGCCAACTCAGATTTTTGTTATGCTTATACAATTGTTTTCTTGCCTCTCCAGCTGTAAGCACAAGGTGTACTTGGAAACACTACCAAATACTAGCATAATTATCCCATTTCATAATGAAGGCTGGACTTCACTCTTGAGAACAATACACAGTATTATCAACCGCACCCCAGACAGCCTGATAGCAGAAATCATTCTTGTGGATGACTTCAGCGACAGAGGTAAGGCCCAACTGGTTTTGTTTTAACTTGAAATTTATAATGCTGTGTGATCTATACAGAAACTAAAGGGAAGCAAAAAGAGAGGAGACCAGACCTAATGGAATGCTTGCCTTGAAGTGCTGTTTCATTGTTAGTGGGAATAAATATTTATAAGTGGCTTTTGTTTTACTTGGCATGAATACTGAATTCCATGTCAAAGGGAAGAGTCTGTGAGCTGTTCATTAGCTCTCATTAATATAGTATTTTGAATATATTATTTCTGAAATACTGCAAATTTTAATGTTTCCACATCTTTTCCTTACGCTTCCCTTTTATTTGAAAATGTATTATGTTTGACCATTTGGGATGCAACCAAATCATTAGATTTTGTTCCTGGAATTTTTTTGAGCTAGGCAGCTTCAAAAATACTAATACAAACTAGCCATACAGAGAAATGTGACTCTTTTTGAATGGAATGTGAAAAAAGTGCTTTAGAATCATTGATCCAAGTTTATGTCATTTACATGTACTGAAATTAAGAAAACTGCAATCACTTAATGGCTTCTGCCATTATCGTTTCTCGAATGCAACACAAAAAGTGAATGCCTCCAGTTTCTTAAATGAATTTTAACAACTCCTTAGGTAAAATTCATCTGTGATAAAGATATGGAACTGAGAAAATAGTTTTTCTTTCGAATTCCAGGACCTCTCATAGAAGTTTAAGCATGAAGACCTTTGACTTTTCTTTGGTGTTTGAGGGGTGGGTTTTCTGTTTCTGTTGAAACATCAATTGCTGGTGTGTATGTGAGCTTTGTTCTGAGTAGATTGATAGACAGCAAAAGAGAGAATTGTACCATTTATAATATTTTACCTAAAACCTTTGTCTCAGCTAGGACCTTAGAGGAGCAAATTTCTGACCTACTGTTGTGAGAAGCCCCTGGATGAGTGAGGGGAATAATAGTAGAGCACTGCAGCAGCAGAATCATTTTTGTAAGATTTTTAACTTGATATTTCAGGGTTTAGAAAGATTAATGCTGCACACATCTATCTTGCCCTCTCATATCTGCTGATTTACTTGCAATGTCCTTTGATGAACTGCCTCTCAGTCTGTAATGCAATTTAAGAGAAATTGTAAAGTGAGTACAGTTCTGACTATTCTATGTTGATGAAATCTAGACCTTGGATGAAAGTTTCCAAAACAAGAACTGCAAAACAGCATGACCATTTTTCTGCAGGCTAACAATTTCCTAGTAGTAAGCAACTTACGGGGAGGTCTGTAAGTTGGTTTTATGAGGTACCTGACAAGTAAAAAATACTTTTTGTATTGAGATGGTAGCTATTGAGGCTGTGCTTGCTCAATATGGTAATACTGTAGCATTTTTTTGATGAAGATTATAATGACTGTTGTTGATGCCCTTTTAAATATGTTAATGTTTTGTAAAGCTTATCTACTTCCTGGTTATTAGAAAAAGAACTAATGTGCGTGTTTGGTGTACTGTATGTTTTAAGAAGAGAAAGCATACAAGAAAAATGTGCTAGAGGCTCTACTCGGAATTTAGTAATATTGAATTTCAGGTCAGGTGAATCATTTTGGCACATGTGCAGTGTTTAATTCTTGTGTTTGTGATCCTCTAAACTATACTTAACTGAGATTATATTGTGTTTTCTTGTGTTCTTTTTTCTTTTTCATGAGGTGACCACTGTAATAGAGTTGGATTATTTTATGTTGAAAAAATGCTGACTGATATCTATCCCTGTCTCCTCCCAGTTCATAGCATAATCTTTTTTAAAAGTAGCAGATGTCTAGTATACTGTTGTTATTCATTCACCCTTTCACTGCATTTTCCTGGACTGATGAGAGAAGTAAAGCAGCGTAAACTAATTTTTGGCCTAATCTGGCTTCAGTCCAAGTGTGGTCAGATCTTGTCAAAACTCGTAGAATCATTGCAAGCAAAGTTTGCTGCAGTGTTGAGGCAGTACAGTAATTAGTGATAAATCTATATCACTTTTTCTTATTGTATATTTTTTTCATGAAGCTTCATATGTGAAATAGCTGACAAATGGCTATTACTTTGTTTTGTGAAATCAATTATATACTACTTAAGGGATATTGTGTATGTTATTCTTATTTCCTAACTTGATATTATAAGGAGAGTTTTCTGTTAGGAACCTGAACATCACTTGTAGGTAGTCAAAAGTGAAAATGGGATATTTCAATAACACCAGTATTTTAAAAGTAGTGATTAAATAACCTTTTTCTCTAAAGTGTTCTACTAATCAAACTCTTCCTTTTTTGTGAACATCGAGGAAGTTATGAAAAGTCGGTTTCAGAGTAAATAAGAAAAATTAGGAACTTGAAAGCTGTGTAAAAGATGGAGGGTTTTTTTTAACTAATCCAAATATAAATAGAGAAATGCACTTAAGGAACTTTTGATGACGTATGATGAAAATGTTTTAGTGAACAGCTAGGTACTGAGCAGTTTGCTGGTTTGTCTGCAGAATTACTTGGCATGCTCTTATTTTAGTCATATTCACTCTTTTGGCTTTTATGATCAAGCCCAAAAACTTTAGATAATTCATGCATAATATTCACCATAAATTATGACATTTAGATGTTATAGAAGTAAAAGGACAGCCGCACCTTTTTAAATATCAATATAATGCAGACTCGAGGCTTGGTATTAAGAGGGAGGTAAGCAAATGTTATAAAATTTGGAAGTGCAATATTTGGTCAGATTTAATGGACAGATTTAATATAAAAGACTACATGAATACAGAAAGTCATCTGTGATAGTCAGAAGGAAATGTAGATTTTAAATACATGTACACAAAGCTGCAAAATTTCTTTGTTCATATAATTTATGCTTAAAAGTGATGAAACAATGGGATGGAAAAATATGACCATGAGGCAAATAATTAGACTTAAACTTAGTTTACCTTAGAAAGCTATGGATAAGGGAGCTAGCTATGATGTGTACTGTTGGGCACTTAAAATTTAAGAATGTTTTTACTCTTCCCCACTGATACAGCAATCAGGTCTTCACTAGAGACTTCCACTGAATAACTTAGGTCCAAGTACTGTGGCTTTTTAACAAATTGAATTTGTTAAATTTAATTTAACAACTGAATGATGAACATGCTTTTGCATACTAAAGCGTGTGAAACATTTCTACTTTGTGATGGATTTGGGGTTGCAATCCCGGTACCTCATTCATGTAAACTTTGTATTCTAAACTCTGTAAGTTAAAGACTTACCAGTTTCAGAAAGTGTCACCTACCACAAAAATGAACCCTTATATTGAAGGTACCAATATATCTTTGTGTCAGGTATCTGCAGTGGCTTTGTGTGCAGGTCAGGTTTTGTGATCCTAGTTCCTGGAAAAGTGAGCCTTGTGAAAAGTGGGGTTTTTTTCTGGGAGAGTTTGACCCTGAGATTAGCTCATGGGGTTAGAGCATTGTGCTAATAACACCAAGGTTGTGGGTTTGATCTCTGTTGGGCCATTCACTTAAGAGTTGGACTTGATGACTCTTGTAGGTCACTTCCAACTCAAAATATTCTGTGATTCTGTGTGAGGGGTGTTTGAAATGGGGGGAGGGTGGGAGGGGATTGATTTGCAGGTTTGACTTTGGGGATGAGGTGTTTCTTGTTGAAATAGTCTGTCAACAGACATCTCTGAAAAGGGGGCAAGAAGCAGATGTGGGCAACAGTTTTAAAGGAAAGAGCAAAATGAAAAAGACAGCATATTTTCATTGGTTCTGTTATGGAATATCTTGCATTTACAAAGGAGTACTAAAAATTCTAATTAATGTTCTAAAACTTGGGGGAACATAGATTTGCATAATTAATTAGTTAAACAGTTCATGTGGGTTGCCAACGTGTGATAGATTTGTGCATCAACCTTTATTTCTTTTTGTGTTTTAATTACTTTATTAGCATAGTCAGACCTGTGAACTGTTACTAACACAGCATGTGCCCGTGAATGTAAAATTAACTTACCAAGCATTTTTACTTTACTCTGTAGGTCTTGCATGGGTGCAGCACCTATTATAAGAAAAAATAAACAAAGCCACAACCAACAAGTAAACTTGCTAGCATAACTATTCTAGGGTTGTATTTTAGTTTGGAAAAAGATTATCAGATTTGCCACCAAAAAAAATTGAGAACTTAGTAGTCAGCAGCTTCTTGCAGGACAGGACTAGTTTCTGTCACTGGCAATGAACTGGTGTTTTGGTAGCAAATGACAAACTGTGAACTCCTCCTTCATGTTGATGAGCCAGTTTTGCTGTCTGTTATGTTCTCCTCTCTCTGTCCCCTTGCTTAGGTCTATTTTCTGCACTGCTACTCATTTGAGAGTATCATTCTGTCCCATATCTGGTACCATATGATTTGTGCCAGGTCTCTGAATAGCCCAGATTAAAAATGTGGAAGTCGGTGTGCAAAAGCAACCTATGACTACTTGATCAGAACTCAATTTAGTTGGTCAATGAACTTCAATGCTAGTAATGTGCTTTGTTTTGTGTGAACATGGAGGAAGATCTGATCTATAGCATGTAAGATGAAATTTCCTGTATTTTGTTCGCAGACAGTTTATGTAACAGGTCATTGTGATTCCAATTTACGGATGCTTGGCTTCAGATCATGGCTGGATATAACTCTTCTGATGAAATGAAAGAGAAGGCTATATTGTATGAATGGCTGTCTTGTCATAAGAAACCTCTGCTATAGACAGAAATTCTCTGGTATGATGAAAGCTCATGTCTGCAAAAATTGCCATTTTTGTCAAAATATACAACACTTAAAATAAAAAATTGGAACAGGATGTTCTAATATTGTGAAAGTCAGCCTCTACCAAAGAAAATACTTTAAGTCGGTCCCTTTCCTTAAGTTTTGGAATCTGTTATTCAACATGGTTTATAATTGCTCAATGACTTTTCTTTTAATCTGGGCTCTTCAGAGTTACACAAGTGATTTGTTTTTCTTATATATTAATGATTCATCACCTTTATATATTGAAGACCAA